ATTGAAGACGTATTAATCCACGTCATGTTATGTTTTCACCCTTGCAAAAGGAGCTATATCGTAGAAAAACTCCAAACAAACCGTTAGTGCATCGTCTACAATATAGGTAGAATTTGTGGCATGTTTTGAGACTACTGGGCAGGCTACTACTTGAAGAATTTAATCCGGGGTTTGAGAGTGATTTATGTAAATGGAAAAAAAGTCCAAAACAAACATTGAACTTATAGACAAAAGCTAAATTGAACCCTAAACTTTAAATCCCTGAAATTAGCACACCGAACTATCTAATCCCGGTCTATTTTAAACCTTAAGCGGTTTGCCAAACAGGGATCGTCAACATTCCAGATCGAACCCGGGATGGTTGGCTGCGGCCAGACCGCCAGACTGGGCCGTCCCATCAGGCAGGGCAAAGCGTGTTTTTTTTGCAATAGGACGAAGCTAGTACAGTCCTCCTGCTAGCCTCTAACTGATTGCCGTTGCTGAGATAAGAAATGCGCGAAACTATTTAAACCAACACAACGTCGAGATTTGAAAATATTTTCTACAATTGTTCGAAACATTTTCTTGAAAATTGTCAACAATTTGAAATCCGAATATTCTTAAAGAAAAACCCAATTGTCAAAATTCCAAACGTTTTTCTTTAGAACTTGAACATTTTTTTGGATTACGAACAGTTTTTGAAAAACATGACCTTTTTGAAACACGAACTATTTTTTAAAACCCCAAACATTCTTTGAAGTGTGAACCCTTTTTGGCAAAAAAGGACAAATTGTTGAAAACACAAACAATTTTGAAACCTGAAAAAATAATTAAAGTACGATTCTTTCCCCATTATTAAGTTTTTTAGGAAACGTTCACATTCTAAAATATTGTCCAGGATTCAAAATTTGTTCCTATTTTTTCAAATTATGATAATGTTTAAAAAATTTCATGTTTTCAAAAATTGTTCTCAATTCAAAAAAAAATTCAGGTTTAAATTTTTTACTGATTTGAAAAAAATCACGTTTAAAAATGGTTCATGTATAAAATATATTCAGGGATTTCAAAATGGTCATGTTTGAAAATTTGTTTGTGTTTTTAAAAAATCGTAATTCCAAAATTTGTTTATACTTTGCAAAACATGTTCGGAATTTTAAAACTATAGAATATACGGATTTTAAAATCATTTATTATTTTCAAGGAAATGTATAAAAAAAATCTAAAATGTTTTCGAATCTCGATGCTAATTCGTCTGGTTAAATATTTTCGCTCCTTTGTTTTTTCACTAACAGTTATTAGGTGGAGTGGCTACACGAAGAGTTTAGCAGTGGCAGTTCTCAAGTTTGATTCCCCACGAGTATTTTTCTTTTTGGTATTTTTAAGTCAAAAGAAAAAACATGTTTCACATTTGGTGGGCCGGCCCAGTCGCCAGCGATCCCGGTTCAACTAGGTGCCACGTCGACAATCCCTTCGATAAAGCGCCTAAGGTTTAATATAGTCCGGGATTAAATAGTTCGATGTGCTGATTTTAAGGATTTGAAGTTCGGGCCTCGATTTAGTTTTGGTCTACAAGTTCAAGGTTTCTTTTAGACTTTTTCCTACGTAAATGTAGTTTACAGTGCGTGTGATTATATGGATTTGAGATTTAGCTAACGAGGTACCTGATTGTAGAAAAGCGGACATTTGAGAGACGATCGGTAGAGAGATGTTTGAGGGGCCGTATTAGCTATATGCAGCCACTCTTGAAAAACGTTTGCAAAAGGGCCCGTGCGTTGCAACGGGAGATTTTTTTCATAATTGTCAATGACAATGACCACATTTTATTGCATCATCGAGATACATTATTGCTTTCAATTTTGTGAAATCATGAACATTTTTTAAAACTCGTGCACATATTTGAAATTATGGGAAAAAAATTAATTTTATGAAAACTTTTACAAATTTTTGAACATTTTCTAAAATCAAGAACATTTGTTGAATTCATGAACATTTTATACTATTTGTAAACATTTTTAAAATTGTGAACATTTTTTATTTTCTTTTTAATCTTATGTGCAAATGGACGAACCAAACAACGGATGAAATCTGGTAATAAGCGACATACAAAAAAAGGGAGTAAGAAACGTCCGTGCCTTTAATAAAAAAAGAAAAGTACTAATGAAGGATGCAACATAAATATAGTTTTAAAAATAATTAACATGCAAGATAACATTATATTTAGAATCTGCAATTTTTTTTGGGCGATTTCCATATATAACATACTAAATTTGGAGTTCGGGTTTGAAAGATATGAATATTTTTAAAAATACTTGAATTTGCAAAACAATATTAAAAAGAGAATATTTTGGCCGTAATTGTACTGTGTAGACCATCCGTTAAGCGGCACTTAGCAAGGTAACTCTATATTACGCCAACTGAAATTCGCGAAAAAAAAAGCTGCAAAAATTGGGACGAGCCGGGTTCAAACCCAGGTCTCCTGCATGGTAGAGAAAGGCCTAAGCTAGTAGGCTGGTTTGTCTACTTGGGTTGTCTAAGGGCATTTCGCTACATGAACCAGAGGTTATCGGCGGCAACTTAAGAAAAAAAAAAGAATCGTTTTCCCACTTACGGGTGGCATTGGTGGGTAATTTTTACCAACTTAAAGTGTAATTTTAATGACGGACGATCAGAAGCGATAGCCGCTTTAGTAGTATATATATATATATATATTATTATTATTAGTTTGTTTATTCAAATGATGTGTGGCAGTCAGATAAGGCTTTGTCCTTTCTCATCATCTAGATGAGATTTTAACAAATCCGTATTTTTTCAGAGAAGAAATAGAGCACGAGGGCCTGGTGGAAATAATAAAACCGTGCCAATAGAAAAACGGGGAGAGCTGACCGTAGACCGGGCCCGAAGCGCGTCGCGTTGTGCGCGGCACACGCCATACCGCCGCCGGCACCACACCGGGTCACCACCAACCACCGTCCCCCTCCGGCTCCAAAAGCTCCAGCCTTTCTTCCTTCCCACTCGTCCTCCCACCAGCCCGAGGCGAAAACCAGTTCCACGTCCCCTCCACCCTCCTCTCCACAGCCCGCGGAGCCCAAGAACTCCGAGACACATCAGCCGGTTATCCACGGCTATTCGCCTGCATCAATCTGGTCCGCAGAGAGAGGAGAAGCCTGCTGCATTCCTCGCCTGATGATGGCGAGCACCAGCACGGCCTCCGCGACGGCCGTGGCCGGCGCGTTCGCCGCCGCCGGCGCCAACAGGCCGCGGGGCTCCGCTGCCTGCCCGAGGGTGCCCGCCGGCGGGCGGCAGCGGCTGTCCTGCGTCGTGCGGTGTGACGCCGGCCCCGGGGTCCAGGCCCAGGCGGCGGCCAAGGCGGCCAGCGTCGCCGCGCTCGAGCAGTTCAAGATCTCCGCCGACCGTGAGTTCCTCCTCCTCTCTCTTCCTCCCCGCCCCGAATTGGCTGCTGTCGATGCGATTCCTGTAATCCTGTGATGTGGGATCTGCGATTATGCCAGTATGATTTAGCTTGCCTCGTTTGGCGGTGCGCGAATTGAGGGATCTTCGCGGTGGGAGTTGGTCAACAAATTTCCGAAAGTTGGGAGTTGGTCAACAACTTTTCCGAAAGTTGGGAGTTGGTCAAACATTTTCGGTGTACTGACCAGTAGGTGGGAATCGGACATTTTCCAAGTGTATATAGCGCAGGAAAGCTTGTTTCTCTTGTCGTTTTTACTCTGCAGTTGGAGTCTATCACTAACATAATACACATTTGGAACATGCTTCATTTCTGTATTACAAGCATGTACATCAGGATCTTCAAAATTTTCAAGTGTTTATGATGACTTGCAGTTTGATTTCAGTTGTATTATCTCATAAAATTAGAAACTTCTGGGCCTCTTTCAGGCATCTGACAATGTTTTGTTTTCACTGCCAGGCTACATGAAAGAAAAGAGCAGCATTGCTGTAATAGGCCTCAGTATACACACAGCACCGGTTGAGATGCGTGAAAAGCTCGCGGTCGCAGAAGAGCTATGGCCCCGTGCTGTTGCAGAGCTAACCAATCTTAATCATATCGAAGAGGCTGCTGTTCTTAGTACCTGCAATCGAATGGAAATTTATGTGGTCGCTTTATCCTGGAACCGAGGCATTAGAGAGATTGTAGATTGGATGTCAAAGGTAAGGATTCGTTTATCAAATGCTCATTTGCTTGTCATTTTGTTGTTGTTCAAGAACACAGTTTGGGTAGAAGCTCTAACGCTGTACTGCTTGTTTTTGCAGAAAAGTGGGATCCCTGTTTCCGAGCTCAGGGAGCACCTCTTTATGTTGCGTGACAGTGATGCGACGCGCCATCTGTTTGAGGTTTCTTCTGGGCTCGACTCTTTGGTTCTTGGAGAAGGACAAATACTTGCCCAGGTTAAACAGGTTGTCAGAAGTGGGCAAAACAGTGGAGGCTTGGGGAAGAACATTGATAGGATGTTCAAGGATGCAATCACAGCAGGAAAGCGTGTCCGCTCTGAGACCAACATATCATGTGGCGCCGTGTCGGTTAGCTCAGCTGCGGTTGAATTAGCCCTGATGAAGCTTCCAAAGTCTGAATGCTTGTCAGCTAGGATGCTTTTGATTGGTGCTGGCAAAATGGGGAGGTTGGTTGCCAAGCATTTGGCTGCAAAAGGATGCAAGAAGGTCGTTATCGTGAACCGCTCAGTTGAAAGGGTGGATGCCATCCGTGAAGAGATGAAAGACATCGAGATTGTGTACAGACCTCTCAAAGAGATGTATGAAGCTGCCGCCGATGCAGATGTCGTGTTCACGAGCACCTCATCTGAATCTCCATTGTTCACCAAGGAGCACGCAGAAGCACTTCCTCCTGTTTCTTGTGCCCTTGGCGGTGTTAGGCTTTTCGTCGACATATCCGTCCCGAGGAATGTCAGCGCCTGCGTGTCTGATGTTGGCCATGCACGAGTGTACAATGTTGATGACCTGAAAGAGGTGGTGGAAGCCAACAAGGAAGACCGGATCAGGAAAGCAATGGAGGCCCAAACAATCATTTCAGAAGAACTGAAGCGGTTTGAGGCTTGGAGGGACTCTATGGAGACCGTTCCAACCATCAAGAAGCTGAGATCATACGCCGATAGGGTCAGGGCTTCAGAGCTTGACAAGTGCCTGCAGAAGATCGGAGAAGATGCTCTGACCAAGAAAATGAAAAAATCCATCGAGCAGCTCAGTACTGGCATAGTGAACAGACTTCTCCACGGCCCATTGCAGCACCTGAGATGCGACGGCACCGACAGCCGCACCCTTGATGAAACACTTGAGAACATGCACGCCCTCAACAGGATGTTTGGCCTCGACACCGAGAAGGCGGTCATGGAGCAGAAGATCAAGACAAAGGTGGAGAAACAGCAAACCCAAAACTGAGATCAGCAGTCTAGTTTCTGCCTGTAGATCTACATATACTCCCAATCTGTCCTGACTCTAATTCCAATTTTGTTTAACCATCTCTTACTGGGCCCTCCTTGGTGAGTTCGTCCATTGTATAGTGAATTGGCGCCTGCCATTGCAGGCGCCAAATATGTTGAGACAGCAAAATGTTTGTACTCCAAAACAGCTTTTGTGCATTATCATGGATGCTGCAGCATGGCCTCTGATTCACAGGAAAAGCGGAGGAAAATACATAGAAATAGAAAAATTTCTCTAGTGGCAATATTCATTCATGTGATTCAAATGAATGACTCAGACAAAAAATGGATGGATTTTTCCTTTGGTTTGAGTTCCAAAGAAACAACCAAGCAGTTCTACAATCCACACTAATCTCTTTCTCTATTTCTACGTAAAAAACAAGAAAATGCCATAATTTGCATAATACCAATCCAATATTATATTAACATGTGTATGAAATTAATTTGATTGCTTTTTAGGATTTATGTTTTTCCTATTCCTGTGAATCAATCACTCAATCCCGCAAAGTTCTTGTGTTTATATAATCCTCTGTTTTACAAACCAAGTGAAGAAGGACAAGCTCCATCTGGTTTTTACGTGCCACTACATGCAATTCCTGCAGTATTTAACTCTTAAAACCTGAGATACTGTTAGAACTACCGGCCTCCTCGTTGCAACCGTACACTGAAATTATTCATGGATAGCGACTGTTGCACAGTGTGGTCATTGTTTCAGTCTTGTTGTTAAATCTCTTTTGCATGCTTCTGTCTCTTGCCGTAAAAAATTGTTGTAGATTGGGTTGCTTCCACTGATCTTGAGGATTCAACTGCCACCGAGGTTTGAACAACTCATAGTATGTAGTATGCTTAGCTCGAAGGAAGATGCAAATTCAGTTAGCGGAGATGCAACGAGGAAGATGAACAGGAATAAGTGCAGTCAGTCTCGGGCTTGGGCTTGTCTTTGAGACAACACAGATGCATCAAATGACCGATAGCACGTTGTGGTGGCCCACGCCTATAAGCCCGCAATGCCTCCACCTTGTCGTCGGTGGAAGGCATTTGAGTGCTGCCCGGTCCACGACGGTCCTCAGCCGGAGCCATAAGATGAAGACCCAGCACTGGTCACCATTTTTCAGGTCATAGCCACCGCTTCTTCCTGCAAACCTCAGGAAATATTATCAATTAGTAGATCGTACTGTTAATTAATTCCAGGCAAGGGCGTTTGGTCTAGTGGTATGATTCTCGCTTTGGGTGCGAGAGGTCGCGAGTTCGATTCTCGCAACGCCCCTTTAATTTTTTTTCCTTTTTTTTTCTTTAATTCTCACCTCTAATTGCTGTGAATTCCTTGCCGCTCCGATCGCTGTTCGAAAGTAATCTCGAACTTCTATTAGCTTACCCTAGATCCATCTAATATACGTCCTCCAAAGTTTCTCTTGAACTGAAATATATCACATTATATGCAACCTTGTTTTCCTGCTCTTCATCAATCAAGTTTTTCAGCATGCTGTATGTGTTACAAATTTAGTTTCTTTGGAACAGAAACAAATCACACTAGTAGAACGTCCGTGCGTTGCCACGAATTATAATGCATATAAATGGATCAAACAAATGAACTAAGGTCGTCTTCAAGGTCGAAGCTCATTTCTCCTTTGGGCGTGTTCAGTCATCAAATGTGCACCCAACAAGCTCCCCAAAATTAAACCGTCGTTTGGACAGTACGGGCTCCCCCAAATCCAGACCATATGCGGGGAAGAAATGTCATTGTCCAGATTATCCGCCATATTATTTCCAACACGTGTGGACCCAACACAAAAATCTTACCCCACGACACACCCTTTCCTTTTCCTAATAGAACCCTCTCCTTTAGCACCGAGTGATGCACACCTCACCTTCATCACGGTGTCCTCTCTCCTTCACACCATACTTCCCCATAAACCACCAAAGAGGGGTCCCTTGCCAACCTCACCTCTCTCCGCCGTGATCCCTCCCCCGCCACCAAGGCGTGCGCCCGAGTCCATGCTGATTCAAAGATCCATCGTGAGTTGTAAGAAGGCATTTAGCAAGTTTACAAATGGACCAAAAGTGAATTTATTCACATAGTTGGATTCCCTGTGCGTTGCCACGGGCTAAAAAATTATATATGTACAACAAGAGATATGCTAACTAAATGTTTTTACAAAGAGAAAGGTTGTGTGATATGAGAGTCGTATACTATTTACATGTGATGATATCTCATGCTCGTAAACCTGAGAATAGTTTCAGATCCAGATTAAAACCAACCCAAACCACACGACTTCCTTCCCAGCTACCAATCCAATCCAAACCAAACAATGAGGTCTAGAATCCAAACCAAACCAAGCTAGGTGTATTTTCCATCCAAACCAATCCAAACTGTTTCATTTTTTTTGGATTAAATCCATAGTTTCAAACTATGGACAAGCTGTTGTTTTCCAACCATGAAGCTACTAGTCACCTGCTCGGTCGTCTGTGCGCTTAATGGA